GTACCACCACTACCTGCAACCCTGGCAGAGTTGAAAATTTTGATCACTGAAGCAGTTCGCATAATAACTCCAGATATGCTGCAGAGTGTCTGGACCGAACTGGACTATTGCTTCGATGTTTGCCGAGCAACCAGAGGGGCACACATTGAGTGCCTTTAATGGTACCCTATACCACATGAAACAATGAAATCCTGCATCTGAAGCTACTAACCGTGAAAGATTATTACAATAAAGTTACATGATATACCTGTTTGAAATCAGGGAGTGTTTTTGTGGACACCCTGTACATTATTTAAGTATGCATACTGGTCGGAGAGCCCGTCGTAAGTCTGAGTCGTCGGTAAAAGAGTACGTCGCTAAGTGAGGAGAGACTGTATTTACACCACACATTGCTCTCAAACATGATATCTCCACTGCCTCCAGTCTCCTCCTTGTTGCAACATACCTTACACTCATACACAAGTGTTAGCACCACTATACTCTGGTCAATTCCTCTTTCAGCATCCACTGATGAACTTTCATTTTTGCAACTGCCTTAACACTCCACCATCTCATTTATTTTACCTCAACTTAGATACACACAAGTGTTGAAACATCCATGCTCAACTGTCTTCCTCCAAATTTCCTCTCATCAATCTGTCATTCAATCCCTTCACTACTTTCACAGCTTTCGACGATTTCTTTCGTCGTTTGGTCCTATTATATCTGACCTGAATACCATGCAGTCACCTGTCTTGGAGACTTTGCATTTCTTCAAATGACAAAAGTGGCTCCAAAACATTGTAAATTCTCATGGTATTCAGCAAATATTAAACCTTTTGTAGGTAGTAGGTTGGTAGACAGCAACCACCCAGGGAGGTACTACCGTCCTGCCAAGTGAATGTAAAACAGAATCCTGTAATTGTTTTACATGATGGTAGGATTGCTAGTGTCTTTTTTCTGTCTCTTAAACATGCAAGATCTCAGGTATGTCTTGCTACTTCTACTTACACTTAGGTCACACTACACATACATGTACAAGCACATATATATACACCCCTCTGGGCTTTCTTCTGTTTTCTTTCTAGTTCTTATTCTTGTTTATTTCCTCTTATCTCCATGGGAAAGTGGAACAGAATTCTTCCTCTGTAAGCCATGCGTGTTGTAAGAGGCGATTAAAATGCCGGGAGCAAGGGGCTAGTAACCTCTTCTCCTGTATATATTACTAAATGTAAAAGGAGAAACTTTCGTTTTTCCTTTTGGGCCACCCCGCCTCGGTGGGATACGGCCGGTGTGTTGAAAGAAAGAAGAAACATGTAAGATTTCAGGTACGTCTTGGTACTTCTACTTACACTTAGGTCACACTACACATACATGTACAAGCATATATATATATACACACCCCTCTGGGTTTTCTTCTATTTTCTTTCTAGTTCTTGTTCTTGTTTATTTCCTCTTATCTCCATGGGGAAGTGGAACAGAATTCTTCCTCCGTAAGCCATGCATGTTGTAAGAGGCGACTAAAATGCCGGGAGCAAGGGCCTAGTAACCCTTTTTCCTGTATAAATTACTAAATTTAAAAAGAGAAAATTTCGTTTTTCTTTTTGAGCCACCCTGCCTTGGTGGGATATGGCCAGTTTGTTGAAAACAAAAAATTAAACTTTTCCCAAATATTTTGGTTCAAGAAAAGTCTTGCACATCTTTGCCTTACAGACTTCTTTTAAGAATTTTTATGAAAATAGAAATTGTGGGATTTGCAAAGTTAGAACAAAACATTTAAACAGTGCTAAGTCAAATGAAAAAAAATTTCACAAGCAAGTCACATACTGCTTGCATACAAACTAAGACTCATACATATCACAACTATCCAATAATCATTAAAACAATAAATACAATGATAAAATATGTATGTCATAAAAGGCGACTAAAATGTGGGAAGCAAGGGAATAGTAACCCTTTCTCCTGTATAAATTACTAAATGTAAAAAGGAGGAAAACTTTATATTTTTTCTTCTTTTTTTCAGGTCAGCCTCAGTGGGAGATGGCTGGCACTATATTGAAAACTTTTCTATTATAAAAACATCAAAACATTAACAATAAAACATTGTCTTATAATGTCACCAAGGTTTTGAAAGACCCCAGGTGATTTTTAAACTGAAATATTAACAGGAAAAACATCTTGCATTTGGGGTTGATCAATGTAAATGACAAGTTTTGATGTAGTTCAGAAAGAATCTACATATTTATCTCAAAAATGATTATTCTCCTCAGTCACACTGGAATTGTTCTCCTTATATTCATGTACAACAAAGTAATAACCACAAAACAGTAAATTCTAGTGATATTATGTTTCTATTAGTAATTCTAAAATAGTATGCCATGTTGTTACATTTTATGAATCCACAGTTATGCAAAACAAACTCTCACTACATCTCTTTTCTGAACCTTCAATGAGTGTTCCCACAAGAAGTGTTTTAGAAATCTTTTGGTAGATAGTTGCTGCTGCATTCTTATCTCATGTCCATCGGCCCTGCACTACTGAGTAGACAACTTAGCATTTCCTGTGGCCTATTTAAAAAAAAAATTATCAGAAACGGTGACTTCACTCAGATTTTTTGAGTGGGTGGGTATACTGAACGAAACACACTAAGACATGAGAGCTCTAGTACTGTACCATGAACTTACCTTTGCCAACACAAGTTTACAAAAACAGTTAATAAACTTTATTTAATAATAATCATAGGTGGCAGTAAAAGGTGAAAGTCACCAAATTGCAAAACAAAAATACAGAGTAAATTTTGTCCACTATGGGACTTTCCCAACTTACTGAACAATATCCCACAGTTAGTGAATTAAAAGGTTTGCTCTGTTTATGCTTTTGATTTATTATATTTAATATGCTTTTGACTATATCTTCTGACTGTTTCAAGTTTGGTAAAAGACAATCTATAGAGTATCCTCCTAGAGTCTATATTAACAAAGAAAAATATCTTTAAATAGGCATATTATCAAGAGGTGGTTATTAGATTTAACCCTTTGACTGTCACAAGCCCCTTTCTGAAACTGTCATTTCATGTCACAAAATTTTTGGAAAAAAAAAAAAAAAATCTTATGAAATGATAGAGAATCTTTTCCCGATGGTAATGACACTAAAAGTATGAAATTTGGTTGAAAACTCACGGAATTACACTCCTGTGAAGTTAGAGGTCTTGGCGACATATACGCATCGGCAATTTCACCGATTTTGAGCCCTGTTTTTGGCCAATTCCATTGTTCCAGTAGACAAAACTCATAGCTATTTCTTTAGAACTCCATTTTTTCTATCAGTTGAGTACAAGAAACCGCCCATTTACCGATTTCAACTACCCAATAAAGTGGTCAGAAATTGTCAATTTGGCCAATTTCATGCAAATTATAAAAGATGCCAATTTCAAAATAGGGTCCAGAATAAACAATGTAGAAATTCTTGGCACTAAAATAACATATCCTCTGTTCATTAGTCATGTCTCTAGGCCCCTCTTATATTACTAGTGCTTTCTATTTTGATTTTTTATTCATACAAAAAAATACAAAATTTACTGTTATGAAGACTAGTGCATTATTGTTAAAATGGTATAAATAATATCAGTGCACTAGTGAAAGAATATTAGACTCCCCAGTTGACATGTATTGGACGTGTGGTGTAATTTGCTTACTCCTGAACACTGGTAAAAATCGAACATTTCCACTATTTTGAGCTCAATTTCAAGGTCGTTTTCATCGTGAAAGTAATGAAAATCATCTCTATTTCTGTAATATGTTTTCCATTTTATCACCCGAGACCATGAAAACGAGAATACAATGATAAATACTATACGAAAATACACCTCAAAGTCGGCATTTTAATCCAAAAAAACAGTCAGTTTTTTTTTTCTCATTATGCACTGCGTGCTGCAAGATTTTTTTTATGTGGTGCACACTGACCACACAGACCCATTCTCTCACATGTGGGCCTACCAGCTTTCTCCTGCTTGATTTGAAGCCGCTAGAATTTACGGGTATAAATACGTCAGAAACAGTGGCGCGCAAGACGTATATTAACGACGTAAACAGTCAAAGGGTTAAAACATGAAATGTACTCAAGTGTTTTTTTTAAATATTTTTAGTTTAATTATTCAAATAAGCATATGCTGTACTTTCATTTCACATCACATGAGAATAAGGATTTCAGTATGAATCTTATGGGAGTCAAGAGTTTGTATGTACATGTTAACTCAGGAAAGTGAAAGACTGCCTTCAGTATAAACTTGAAATGTCAATAATGCACAAATTTAGTGTGGCCGTTCCTCATATGTGGTCCAAGGAGTGTGTCTTTCATACATGAGATTGCTACACAAAATATTTAAAATAATCTTGGCTTAAAACTGAAATATGTAGGCTACAGCATTTTTATTGCAATTTTTAACCTTACTGCACAGCAGACATTATTATAGATCGGTTGGTTTATTAAGTTTAACACCTGACTACACAATGGCCATTAAGGCTGTATATCACTTGATACTGAACAAATGATAGTGAATGTTTTCTTTTTTGGGATGCCCTACCTTGCTGGGTAATGGATGACTTGTTAAAAGAAAAAATAAATCCCTGTTCACCACCATTCAACAAAACTGTACTTTAGTCCCTAAGATAAGGACTAAAGAAAGCTCGAGATATATACACTGAGATGTATGCTTCTTGGTGTATACTGTGATCACAGCTGACAACAGCAATGTGGAACAGGAGGAAGGAAAAAGAGGAGATTTTCAAAGAGGAGTGTTTGAAAAATAGCAGAAAATAAGAATTTTATAAGAAAGAAGCCAAGGTCAATGTGTGTGTGTATACCAGACTAAAGAACCTCACAAATTATTAGTATGAATGATAATGGTAGCAATGAAGGAATGATGATTAATTATAATTGTCTGAATGAGAAAAATAGTTACAAATAAAAGGAAAATTAATAATGACAAAATAATTAAGCAAAAAATATTTGAGAGTACTTACATCTTTGTCTCTCCTTATTCTCTCCTTGAATGTTCGTCTGAAAATTCTACCAGCGATTCCTCTCCCATACTGTCTTCTATCAGAATTATCAAAACAGCTATCCAAAATTCTATTCCAGATACGTGAGCGACCGATGTGAGCACTCGACCGTCCACTGGCATCGACCGTATCTGACACCGGTCTTTGCCATTCTTGAACACTTGGGTGGTACCTTCCTCCTCTGACCTGAGTGAAAAAGAGTAAGTTACTTATCTACTTTAGGTCAATTTACCAGAAACTGGCAGAAAGGAAATCTTCGTTGAGACAGTGTTATGCTTGGAGACTAATGTTGAAAAAGCTTGGTCACCAAGAGAAACACAGTTTCAATAAAGGCTTCCATTCTATTAGTATCTTTCTTATTAGCTTTTCAATTTAACACCTCTTCTAAAACTTAGGAAAATTTATACCTGGAATGAGAAGTAAAAATTTGCAAACCTGCCAAACTCCCTTATAAAGCATTAAAATATTAACCATATATTTCCTCCCCACCACCTAGACCCATCCATCATCACCACCCTATCACATCTATCTTCTTCACCAAAATGCCACATCCACCTGCCAAATCCATCATCTTCACCACCCAGTCACATCCACATGCCAAATCCAACTTCTTCACCACCCTGCCACATCCATCTTTCTCACCATGCTGCCACATCCATCTTCCTCACCACCCTGCCACATCCACCTGCCAAATCTATCTTCTTCACCACCCTGCCACATCCATCTTTCTCACCATGCTGCCACATCCATCTTCCCAACTACCCTGCCACATCCACCTGCCAAATCTATCTTCTTCACCACCCTGCCACATCCATCTTTCTCACCATGCTGCCACATCCATCTTCCCAACCACCCTGCCACATCCATCTTCCCCACCACCCAGCCACATCCATCTTCCTCACCACCCTGCCACACTGAAAATTGTTGCTTGTTTGAACTATGAATATATTAAGTTGCTGCAACAATGGCTGTGCTAAGTTACTGGAACAATGGTAGTATTAAGTTATTGCAACTGGAACAATGATTGAATTAAGTTATTGCAACTGGAACAATGGCTGTATTAAGTTAATGCAATGCCGGTTGTGCTAAGTTACTGGAACATTGGTTGTGTTAAGTTACCGGAACAATGGTGGTATTAAGTTACTAGAACACTGGTTGTAAAAAGATAATGTAACATTGGTTGTGCTAAATTTGTAGAACAATAGATGTGTTAAGTTACTAGAAAAATGGATATGCTAATTTACTGAAACAATGCAAATGTTAGGTCACTGGAACAATGGATGAGTTAATTTTTACTTTATGTATTTTAGAAATACTTCAAAAATAAATGGTGTACAAATATTCTGAATATTTTTATTATAAAGTAAACAAATTAGAAAAGTGAAATGTATATGGGATAAATATTAGATAAACTTCCTATTCTCTGAAAAACTAAGCTCATGGCCCTTATTATGTAGAGCCATTAAGTTTACAAAACATTAAATGCTAGTTTTACACAAGAAGAAACCCGTTCACCATCATTCATTCAATAGCTGTCCTGCAGAAAAAAAACTGATATCACAAATTAAATGTCCCTCAGAACCAGAAGAGTTCTTACTTAACAAAGCAGTAGGAACAATTACATTAAATTTTTAATATTCTGCTTATACTGTTATTTTTGTGTGCATTCTGTAAAGCCATAACTTTCATAGCTTCTTACAGCTCCTAGTCCAGATGGGTTTATATCACTGGTACACCACTGTACTATCCAATCTTACCTCCATAACAAAGACAAACACACATCCAGATTTTTTTTTATATTTTCCAACAAAGTGGCTAGTTTATTGCACACCCAATATCCATCCTGCAGATGGTAGCACAAGAGCATGTGGATACACAAAAGGTCTAGGAACTAGGCCACAAAAGGGGTTAACAGGAGTACATATGAATTTATATCTACAGTTCACTTATCTGTTACAAGCAAATTTAGGAAATTAGCTTAATATATCTGGTATCTTATTTTCATTAATAAGATATCTTGACTTGTCTCATAGATTATTATACTGTCTATCTATATATTCCTCAGTAAGTAAACAATTAAGCACATAGTGTTCAAGATAGTGACCATAAGGCTGGCCACATAATTTGCATTTAATCATCATCTGTGTCTCTCAAACTGCCAGAAGTACAGCCTCACTTCGCTTAGCGACGTTCTCGTTTACCAATGCCTTGGACTTACAAAGGGCTCTCTGACCTGTATTTATACCTAAATACAGTGGACCCCCGCTTAACGATCACCTCCCAATGCGACCAATTATGTAAGTGTATTTATGTAAGTGTGTTTGTACGTGTATGTTTGGGGGTCTGAAATGGACTAATCTACTTCACAATATTCCTTATGGGAACAAATTCGGTCAGTACTGGCACCTGAACATACTTCTGGAATGAAAAAATATCGTTAATCGGGGGTCCACTGTAATGTATATTAAAGCTGATTTCCCCTATTCTGTTTATTTCAATATACAGTGGACCCCCGGTTCACGTTATTAATCCGTTTCTGAGAGCTCATCGTAAAGCAAAATTATCGAAAAGCGAATCAATTTTCCCCATAAGAAATAATGGAAATCAAATTAATCTGTGCAAGACATCCAAAAGCATGAAAAAAAAACTTACCACATGAAATATTAAGTTTAATGCAATAGAATAATTACAATAACAATAATAACAATAGAATAAACACAATAGAATAATTGACACTTACCTTTAATGAAGATCTGGTGATGATTGATGGGATGGGAGGAGGGGAGAGTGTTGAAGTTTTTAATGTTTAGAAGAGGAATTCCCCTCCATTAGGACTTGAGGTAGCAAGTCCTTTTCCGGGGTTACTTCCCTTCTTCTTTTAATGCCACTAGGACCAGCTTGAGAGTCACTGGACTTCTGTCGCACAACATATCTGTCCATAGAGACCTGTACCTCTCATTCCTTTATGACTTTCCTAAAGTGGTTCACAACATTGTCAGTGTACAGGTTGCCAACACGGCTTGCAGTAGCTGTGTCAGGGTGATTTTCATCAAAAAAGGTTTGCACTTCAAGCCACTTTGCACTCCTGGGAGTGCCTTTTCCTCCTGAGTAATGTAAGTCCTGCTTGGCAATTTCTTCCAAAACAGGCCTGTTTCGTCACAATTAAACACTTGTTCAGGTTTCAATCCTTCAGCCTCTATGTACTCCTTGAATTCATGCACATATTTTTCAGCCGCTTTGTGGTCTGAACTGGCAGCCTCACCATGCCTAATCACACTATGTATGCCACTACGATTCTTAAATCTTTCAAACCAACCTTTGCTGGCCTTAAATTCACTCACATCACCACTAGTTGCAAGCATTTTTCTAATTAAATCCTCATGCAACTGCCTAGCCTTTTCACAAATGATCGCTTGAGAGATGCTATCTCCAGCTATCTGTTATTCATTTATCCACACAAGTAACAGTCTCTCAACATTTTCTAACACTTGCAATCGCTGTTTTGTAATCACAGTTGCACCTTTTGCAAGAACAGCTTCCTTGATTGCCGTTTTCCTGCTCACTATAGTAGAGATGGTTGATTGAGATTTACTATACAACATGGCCAGGTCCGACACACACACTCCACTTTCATACTTTGCAATTATCTCTTTCTTCATTTCAATAGTCATTAGCACCCTTGGTCTCGAAGGGTTGGCACTAGAAGCTTTCTTGGGGCCCATGGTGACTTATTTTGCAGAAACAAGCACCAGAAACAATGATAATATGGATAATATGGAATGTACCAAATGTATCCTTAGATGCGCGCACACTGGCTGGCTTGTAAACACTGGACACGTCTCGTACGAATCGTATCACATACCGGGTTTTGTAACGGGAACCGAGGCAAATTTTTTGCGATATAACGCTTCGGATACCGGATTTATCAGTTACCAATGACTTCGCGAACCAGGGGACCACTGTACTGTACACTACTGTATAAACATTTAAAAATATACCAGAAATGTTATAAATGGTGCAAAGGTGACATTAAAACAATATCAAAGATGGTTGACACAAACCCACTACCATTATAGTATGCTCCTCGCTTAGCAATGAATTTGGTTAACGATGTGGTCTTAGGAACGGAACTCCGTCGTTAAGCAAAGAGGGGCTGTACTTGTAACCAAGCCTAATCCTGACCACTACAACATCAATCAGTCTGTTGACATTGCAAGTTGCTTCATAAACATACTTATCTATGTTCATGTTATTACAGTAAGTTATAGATCTACTCAGGCTTCTAACTGCAGTCCTATAACATTCAGTTTCATTATTTATTTCTCTCCTAATATTATTCCTAATGCTAGACACAGATATACCAAAGTTATATTCTACACCCTCCTTCAGAGTACTTTTCTTGGCTAACATTTCAACTTTATCATGAAGGAATGAACATTAGTGTTCCTCAAGAGAGCCTCCTGGGCCTCTTCCTATTCATACTAATGACTTAAAAAATAGAATGCAACAGTTTTTAGCAACAACTGTGTTGCTAACACCACATGTCTCATCTTAAACACTCACCTGACACTACTATCTCAATTGATACAATAACCAAATACAGTGGTCCCTCGTTTTTTGTAATTAATCCGTTTCTGGAGGAGCTACTATAAACAAAATTTACGATTTGCGAATCAATTTTCCCCATAAGAAATAATGTAAATACAATTAATCCGTTTCTGACACTCAGAAGTATTAAAACAAAAAAATTTTTTACATGAAATATACATGTAGTACATAAACAATACAATGGGAAATGATGAATGAAACATTAACAGCATAACACTTACCTTTACTGGAGATTCTTCTTAGTGTATGGGAGACTAGAGGAGGAGAGAGATTGGATTGTTTACAGTTTGGAAGGGGAATCCCCTTCCAGCAACACCTCAGGTACCAATTGCTTCTCTGGGGTTGCTTCTCTTCTCTGTTTCTTAATGCCACTAGGACCACCTTGAGAGTCACTCTAGTCCTGTCTCGCAAAGTAACTGTGGAGAGAGCTCTGTTTCTGGCGTCTCTTTAACACTTCCCTAAAATGGCCCAAGACTTTGTCACTGTACATATTTCTCACCTTCTTTACCACAGGCTTGGCACTAGGAGCTTTCTTTGGAGCCATGGTAGCTTATTTAATAGTACTTACAAGCACTAAA